CCCTCCGCGGCCACGCCCCCTCCGCCGCCCTGCGCCGCTTGCTGCTGCTGGCCGCGGTCACCCACGTGGTCGCAGCCCAGCCCAGTCGGCTCGGGAGGATCTGATTAGACTGCGCGCCTCGGCTGCTAGGTGGTTTGTCGCCCAGCGGGACGGACTGCAAGCTGTCAAATCTAAGGGCTTGCTTTGTGGAGTCGAAAGTGAAATTTCCCTTTGGCCAACGTGACAGGTAAGAAGGGGAGGTCCGGGCCCCCGGGAGGATTCGTTTGGTGCTTTTGGTGAAGCGGTGCGAGCGATGTGGCCTTTTGATCCTCGTAAATTGCATTTCTTCTCAGGGCTTTGTTTGGTGGTAACGGGGGGTGGGGGGTGGGGGGGGTGCTAGAGACCCCTCATTCCACCACCACTGGAGGGCGCGTTTCTAAATTCTTGCTCCTCAACCCTACTAAAAGGAATTCCTAGATCTAAATACCAGGTACTCCGCTCATTTTCAAGTGTGAGAAGGAACCTCCATCGAGCCCTGCGTTTACCTCACTCTAGTAAGAAATTAGAAATAAATGATTCCAGAGTGTCAGTTTGGTAGCCAGTACCATGATGTTGTTTGTTTGTTTCCATTAACTCCTGCATTAATTCCTGCATTTTCAGTGGTTTTAACACGCAAAATGTCATTTTTCCAAATCGGTATACTTGTTCTTTCCAAATGAGGCTTCCAGGTCCACAGGCTTGCGGAATAGCCTTGTAAATTTCTTGACACGGAAAGGCGGTCCTGTTAGCCAACTGACTCATGCATCTCTCGGTTTCAATTCCCCGTAGGTCTCAGACGTGACGTTTAAGATTGAGCTCGTCTTTCCCAGCCTCCCTCTTAAAAAAAAAAAAAAAAAAAAAATCAGCATGCTTCCACTGCATGCCTTCATATGCTCATTAGTACCTCTACCCAAATAATCCCCTAAGCCAGGGGGAGGAAACCGTGAAGACTTTGGCTTTCTACCTTCCCATGTCCAATGCGAGTGTATAATTTGTATATATAGACTATTTCTCAAATCCTTCCTCTCCTCGTGCTCAATGCTCTGCATGTTGATGTTTCTGGTATTCTCA